TCTGAAAGCATTTTACCTGATAATAAATCTGAAAGAGTTACAATAAGACAATAGTTATTTGGAGTTCACTACTTGAGAAACCATTGTTTTTTGAAGGCATTTAGTCTTAAGTGTTCCAAAGCTACCCTACAAAGCTCCCAAACCCATAAAGAAAATAATTTCTGTAGAAATCATTTTGTTCAAATATGTCACATGTAAGGCTTAGAGAACATTATTTTTACTCCTCTTGATTAAAATATCCACTAATCTATGTTTGGGCTGACCATTCAAGTTTATTGTGGAGAGGTGAACATTTGTAAAAAAAATTTTTTAATGGAAATTTTAGATGTCAGTGGCTATCTACTACTGATTTTTATTTTAAAGAAACATTTTAGAAGTGACTACTGCAAATATATGAAATTCCTTTTTTAACTCTGGTTTTACAATTGAAGATATTACAATATCTTTCTTATTTTTTCATTTGGGATTGTAGCCACATTATATATAGAAAATTATTTTTAATGTTGTTTTATGATAAAAATGAAATTGTTGAATAAGATAGTGTGAACACTCATACCAGTATCTACTGTCACTTTCATGGCAACCAATCTCCTCCACTGATATCTCCAAGGCTGTATCAATGCTAAAACAAGAATTCAATATTCTGGGTTCTCTAGTTGAGCCAAAGGACCAAGTGTAACTTGGTCATACCTTATTATAAGGTAAATGGACTACTTTTTAGAATTTTAAAGAATAGTTGAAATTCTATCACCAGTCTAGACTGTATAAAAAGTGAATTTTCATAAATCATCATGAAAGTACTTGAATTGGATTTAACAGGGTTATTCAATCCATCACTTTTAATTTGGAGTCATAAGAGAAAATTTTGCATAAAGGGCCCTCTCAAGACACTTCCCTCTTGGAAAAGCCACTTATGCGTTTACAGAGGTTAATGTCTTGACCCTGCAGCACTGAGAGGTATAGCTAAATGGTATTCCTTTTCTAGAATAAGGAGTTTGGTTTTTTTGAAGAGTCATAAAAAGTACATATACAACAAAGTAATCTATAACTTTTCTGTTGCTCTTTCAAGGGCTACATCTAAACAAAAAGGGATTTCTGTTGCTTTTTCAAACACTAATACAATCCAGGTAGCCACTACCTTAGACACAACAATTGTGTGAAAAGTAACTTCACATTTCCCTATATTAAAACAAAGCAAAACAAAAGGTGCAATGTGTTGAATTTAAAGATCATCTGTTACATGTTAAACTGGTTTCTAGATAGGAAGCACTCTAAACAGTATATTTTTGCTCAAACTCAGAAAATTCAAGGAAAATTTTTTCCTTGGGAAAACATTTAAGAGCAATACACTGACATCCCGACAAATTAGCTGCCTCCAGTTATACATGCTGAAAAAAATGTTCATAAAATGAAGCAAAGGATCAGCAATATAATTTCCAACAGTTAACTACATAAATTTTAACATTATAGTATATAAGATACAACCACTAAAATGACAGCAGAACTGAAAACAAAACATCATTAAATGTACTTATTTTATAAGGGTAAAGCAAATGAATACCAAAACAGGGTAAAATATTGGGTTTTATGCCTTGCTAAAAGAGTCTTCATAAGAATGTTTACCAAATTGTAGTCCCACATATTTCCCAAACCTGTTTTAATGTTAATTTACAGTTATTTCTAAAAACAATCCTCTGTAAATGGAACTGCTGTACTCATATATCATTATAATTTTGAAAAGCATTACAAACTTTAAAACTTCAAAAATTTTCTCAATTATATACTTTGATTTATATTTTTAAAGTTGGGTGAATATTTTCAGATAATAGATACATGGAATAAAAAGTTTTAATCAGATATTCATTTCTCATATTGTTATCTTTCCTCAATGACTAAAAGTAAAATGTTTCTAAAGAGCAATTTTTAAAACTCTTCAGTTTGGATGCAATTTAATAGAGTCTTTCTGAAATAATATAAAAAATGGGATTTGGGCCCAAGAGCTTTCCCAGTTTTTAAAGGAAATTCACAACTTTTCTAGCTTTGATAGTTTGTCTTGAATTTAGCTGGGCTCTTGTTTAAAACAACCACTTAATCCTTCTCTTCAACTTCTTTTGACTTGACTATACTGGACATCAATCACTTTTACAATATCTCTGAATGTAAAAGTTACAAATATTTTACTAGTAGACCTTTAATAATGTGTGAATATTTTTAAAATGCAAGAATATTTTAGTTTAAAAAATATGTACCAATAACTGACACTAAATATATCTCACTGATATGAATGCTGAAAGTATATCAAAACGGTTTTCTTTTTTGACTTCAGTTAGGTTTCTAGAGGGAAAAAGAAAACCACTGAGCCAAGACTCAGTCTTGGATTTTTATAAAATAAATAGGAAAAGACAATGCCATTTCTCTCTTGTAACAGAATGATATGTGCTTATACAGTTGTATTTTTAAACTAAATTCTATTAACTCCTTTAGGCCAAAAGATTAGCTCATTTCTTTACAGAAAAATGTTTCCGTTTATTATCCTAATGAACACAATGAGATAATACTGCTTCTCAAGGCAACTAGCCTAAGCTTCAAGAGATACTCATACACTACTGAAGATAGGTATTTTTTCAGTTGGTTGGGAGCAAAGGACAGCCTGGCTTGGTGATGGTATCTACAGAAAGAAAGTCATAAGAGATAAAGCTGTAGCTTTCTCTTTAGTGATACCATTCTCTTCAACAAATTTGGGTTCTCTTGAGAAAAATCTGAGCTTTCTAAATGACAATTTTGATCCTTTTCACTATAATGGAAATGTGTGTTTGACATGCTAGGAAGAAACATGTAGCTTTCAGGCCATTCTTACAGTAGGATTTAAAGCTTTAGAGGAATACCATAGGGAATTTACTTTTTAGGAAAGGAGTTCAAATTGTCAGTAGGACCAGAGGAAGCTAAGGGAGTACATGGGTGACAAGACATTTCCAAATAGCTTCAAAATTATGTTATTCAACATAAAATGCTACTCTGGAAAATACTGAACCTTTACCTGCGATTCATAACTCTATCATAGTTATTTTATTATTAAATATTTCCCTTTATATTTTGGAACAATTTTTGGTACTGTTAATATAGCATATAATCCTTCAGTTTTATGTACAAGCATTCTCATTAACTGAAAACTAAGGAGTATACTTAGGGCAGAAATATCAATCATTTTTAGCTGATACATTATATCAATAGAATACTGAGTTTTCTCTTTAACATAGCATTTATAAATTCTCTATTTGTCTCAAGTAAGGAAGTGTGAATCTATATAATGTTTTAAATTTCAGGATTGTGAAATATATACAGTATTTATATATGTTTATATATATATTTTAAATATAGTTATTTAAAAATATACTGATGGCCAGTGGTGCTGTGGTATAAAACATCTCAGAAATATAGATTATTTGATTTAATTTTATTGGGGGGATTATTAGGTTTATCTATTTATTTATTATTACTTTTGGTGGAGGTAACCAGGATTAAACCCATGACCTCTGTGCATGCTAGGCACACACTCTACCACTGATCTATACCCTCCCCTTATAGGTTATTTGAAAATGCTATCTTTGGTGTACTTCCTGTGTTGAATATTTTAACACAGAGAAGACATTAAGCACAGTCTGTAAGTGACAAATTCTCAGAATATGCCTGTTGGATCATGTTGTGATGGAAAACCTTGAGATGGTCAATGAAAACTGAGATAGAAACTCATAAAAATCAGAAGCAAGTAAATGTAGTGAAGTTTTCTGATGGTCTTATCTATATTCATTCAGGATAGTTCTACTTTTGTCATCCCAGATAATATTGGTCATAGATTATTTTCTTCATTATAGGAAGAAAATACTGTTTTAATCAGATTTGCTAGCAGCATATTCGATGTAGTGAGTAGATATTCAGATACCTGATGAACATTTACAATTGTTGAATAAATTATAGTGTTATGCAAAAACTCACATGAGGAGGCACTTGAGTGTCATGTTAAAAACTGATCTTTGGTAAGGGCAAAATGAAAAAAAAAGCTTCATCTAGTAATAATGAAAATATTTTCATTTACTAATATTGAACATCTCGAGATATATTAAGATGATGATCAAATTGGTCATAAAAATTGTAAATGCCACTATGAATAACCTCTTCCTGTTTCTTTGCTTGCCATTTAGAGTCTCTTTTTAACAGATGAGGCTAGAAAACTTTCACATTCATAGCTGATCATTTTCATTCTTTTCAACTTGCTTGGGGGAAAAAATAAAGAAACTTGTATAAATGGTCACAGAATTGGTTGTCCAGCTAGATGGTATTATTCTTCAGATCTACAAATTAACTTATTTGATACTTGATAAATAAGTGATATCCAGTGTTTTCCAGAACCATTTGTTTGGTGCTTCTTCAAACTATAGTAGGATTATGAATCTAGCCCAATTCAATTGGGAAGCAAAATGTATGCTTGCAAAGTCCAGAATTTTAATGTCTTCTGAATCTGTTGTTTTTGAAATTAGGCATTTTTGTTAGGTATTGAAAATTCATTGATGGTACTATTCACTAGATAAAAATAAAGTGAAGGTAACAAAGGAATTGATTGACTATAAATATGCTGGCACTTGTCTTTACTGAACCTCTGGATTTTAAAACATGCATCTGTTCTTTTACATTTTAATCAAAGATGCAGGCATCTCTAATGTATTTGTCCCAGCAAATCTGAAAGTCATAAGTAATCAGTCAGATCTGAAAATCATTTTAATTGCTCTACAACATTTGAAAGTTATTATAGCTAATCTGTAACATTTGAATATTATTTAAAGAGGTCACTTTACAGATGATATTGTATTTACTATGACGGTTTAAGCTATAATTGATGGAAATTAGTTGGTAACTGCACAAAAATAGATCTTAAATTTTATGGAATTTTGGAAACTTGTTTTTAAGAGGTGTTTAATTAAAGCAAAGTTTCCACTGTGTTTTTTTTAAATCATACCATTTGGTACATGAAAATGCAGTGGGTGGTATGGCTGAAAGAAAACTGGTGGTGGTCCAGATGTTACATAATAAGTAGGGTACCCTCCCTCAGCAGCAAAGTATGGAGCAGGCTGATAAAAGCAAGTTACATTGTCTGCATTGGGTAAGATATTCTGTTCTCCAAGTACCTTTAAAGCCATAAGGCTGATCATATTGAGAGTCTGTCTTCTTTCACGACCCATGAGGCAAACAGTGCTTTCATTCACAACTCCATGCAAGGTCATGAGGTAGTCATACTTGCTCTTTTCTTCACCTATGAAATGGTTGTGGAGGTATGATTCAATCTTCTTTTGCTGTTCTGCTACATCAGGAAAATCAATGAAGAATCTAGAACACATATAACGTTCCAGGGTCTTGATTTCTGCTTCACAAGCTGGCTTAAAATCACGAACTAGCAAGTTGCTGTACTTCAGAAGGCCACCACCTCTAATTTCTTCAGGTTTCCTGGTAGATATAAGCTTGCACTGCAAATGTGTCATTGCTTCCTGGAAGTTTCCATACATGCTTTCAGCCACCACAGCAGGACAGATTTCTTTGGTTAGTTTACCATTTTTGTCACTATAAAAGTCTAACATGGGATCCAAGACAATTTGAAAGGAATCGACACTAAATTCAAATTGTCGTCTGAGTGAATTCACAAATTTTAGCTCTACATTCTTCCCAGTATTATTTGAAAGAGAGATTAGACTCCAACGATCATGCTTGTTGCAAACTTTGACCATCTTCTGCACATAAGCATCTTTCATAGTTTTTAGGGTGAGCTTTTCCTTTTTTACACCTTTTGGCAAAAAGTCAAGTAGACAACCTAGAACTGCATCCTTAACAACCTGAAATTCTTGATCACTTGGTAGTTCAACAACAAAAAAAATATCCAGATCCTTATAGCTGATTCCATTGTGACTTGCAAGTATGTAACTTGCTGTGGAACCATTCAATCGGGTATTTTTAACAGTAATTCCTTGCTCTATCAGTTGATCTTTCACAACATGAATAATATCTTTTGGTTTTACCTCCAATGTAGGGAAATTCCCCCTTCCATGAACTGGAATTACTTCATCTAACACTTGATTGAGTGTCATAACTTGATCCCAAGTGAGATTGCCGAATCTGATTTCAGACATTATGAAGTCAGTAGATCAACTAGAAAGCAAGCAAAATATTAAGAAGACATATTAGCATCTTGAAATCAATGTTATAGCTAAAGCATATGAAAAAGTTAAAAATAGACTTACCCTCAACATAAATCAAACTAGTACTAGAAAGTAAACTATCAATGTATCTAATTGTGTTGAAATCTGTAAGTGAAATAAAAGCCACTATGATTATGTCAAAATTGTTAGATTGATTGGTGCATGCAAGCAGACATTATCAGAGCTTTGTTACAGTTATAATTATTTTTAATGTGAAATGGTGCCTTTCTCAATCTTTCTTCATATAAATACTATGAAAAATGTATTTGGTGGTATAAATATTGTTCATGAGATGATCATGGTACATAATTGAGGTTAACTGCCATGAATTTAAAGTAAGCTCAGTTGGCATGTTTGTGTCGCTTAGACCCAACAGACTGAACAGAATAATGTTTAAAAGCAATATATAACATATTTAATCCAGAAATATCAGAGCATTCTATTATTTAGTTTCATATATATTACTGCTGTCATTTTAAAGAATATTACTGAAGTCTATTATTAGAGTATGAATTCCTTGAATTGCTTGAGGATGAGAACACAATGCAACATCTCTTCTATGTACCCACTAGCCCTTAAAGAAATGTTGGTTGAAGGAAATAATGAATGTCATTTTAAAATAAAAAACAAATGAGATTACTAAGTTTGTCTCCAAAATGAGAGCAAGAATATACAAAAGCATAATATTCTTGAGTTTTAAAAAAGTGTTTTCTGCAGATGTGCAATATGATATGCTCAGAAAGTTTTAGTTGGGAGACATTAGGAAGTTAAAATTATAAACACTATAAATATGATTAAATTATTATATAATTAGTACAATTACAGTTATTACATGGATCTTCAAATACTCTATTAAGCTATTTAAGCAATAAATCTAGTAAATAAAGCTCATTACAAATGTAGCTTTGGGTTTAGGCATTCTTTCCTGAATTTCAGAAATAAAAATTATATAAAGCTTAAGACAGATTTTTATAGACAGTATTCATATCTTGCCTAACTAGGGAGCCATTAGAACAGAACTGAAATATTTAGAATCTAGTGTAGTATATTTCCTTAGTAGAACTAGAGAAAATAGAATCATCTTTTTTCACATCTGTTGAACCAACTTTGACAGTTCAAGCATTTTGTAAAAGGCTAACTAAGTAATGGCAGATCTGTGTCAGTAAGAAAATAAGACTAAACCTATTCTGTTTCTCCATATGAAATCTCCATGAATATGAATTAAAGAGTATTTATCTTTATTACATGAGAAAATGGCCCATATAATGTGTTGTGTGTTTCATTTTAAGCCACATAAATTGCTAATGTTCACACAGGTTTATCAGTTATGTCAATATCCAAATCAATCCTTAAAGGTGAATGAGCTAAATAAATTCATCCATTAAGTGAAATTATCTATATAGTGTCCTTAGGGCAATGGAAAGACCAAAATGCTACCTGAAGGACAGAATATGCAGTAAGAACTGGCATGCTTATTTTCTAATTTATTTTCCTGGAATTATCACTAAATTAGTTGACACTAACAAAGTTTGTTACCCTTAAATTCTTGATCTGGGAAAATAATAATTCATAATAATTCATTGGCTGGCTTCATGTTAAGGATTTAGGGAGCTCAGTCATTTATGTAATATAGGGAAAGTTCCCAAATTCCTTTTTAATATGCAAATTTATTTTGCAAATGGAAATTTTCCTTCCCTTAATGGAAAATTTCCTGTGCCAATACTAGTTAAAAGTTAAAAATTCAATGGTCTAATCCTCGGGCTATAATCCCCATTTAATCTATACCTCTAATCACTAACGATTTGAAAATAAAGATAATTTACATTGGTACATTGACATTATTGAAATTACCAAATTCTTTTCCATACAGAAGTTTCCAGGACCTTTCTGTGTAACTAAACCACCCAAAGAGATGACTAAGTTAACTGTTAACATCAGGAGTCCTTTATCAAAAAGGAGTCTTTCAAATCAAGAAATTGTAAGTCTTGCTTTATATCTTGGATCTGCTCATAGATAGTAGAGGAAGGAAAGGTACATAATTTTGTTTCCCAGACAGAATCACAGTAAGATCCTGCAAAGACAAGAAAGAGGTCCAAAGTTTTAACTTCATTTTATGGCAGGAAAATGGTTTAGGAAAAATTATGCAACTCATTAGTTGTTCCTTGATTACTTATGTTAATGACACCCAAACTTTGTGGTCATCAGAATTATCTGGAGAGCTTTAAAAAAATAAACATATATAGGGTGCCAAGATGGTGGAGTAGAAGGATGTTCTTATTCTTAGTTCACCCTCTCCCATGAATACATCAAGAGAGACATTCACAGACCCACCCGTTCACTCAGAACACCTGCTGAACTTTGATAGAACATTGTCTATTTCAAAAGACAAGATTCCTCACCAAATCTGGTAGGAGAAAAAAAAAAGAAGAAAAAGGAAATTAGTGCAGGACCTGTCCCATGTGTAGGGAGCGGCAAAGAAGGAATAGTGCTCTTACACTGGGATGCCCCCTCTCAATGGAGAGGTCAGTAGCGATGGAGAAGGAACCTTCAAGGCTCAGAGGAGTGCACAGCAGCTGCTTGGCCAACATGACTGAGAGAAATCAGCACAAAGGGTCCCTATCATCCACAGCCCTAGATGCGAGCCGGCAGGGGTAGGCAGGAACTAGCTGTCTGAACCTGGGCAGAGGGCTGGGGCTGACTGTGCAGAGACAGTCTCATGGGGCTGGAGTGTGCTGTGGGAAGTGACTGGGAGTGTATACAGAAAGAACAGCCTGAGTCTCCCATTAAAAAGCAACACTGCTGGTGTGCTTTGTGGGGAAGGGCACAACACAGCTGGGCCATAGCCACTGTTTCCACAGGCCCATGGCACCAATGCTGGCACATTTTCATGAGAAGAGAGGCGGGGCTCTGCCATAGCCACTATATTCCCTGGTGCACAGCTCCCAGGAGGAGGTGGGGTTGGAACCTGAATCCATACCCAAGGGCTCTGCAACTTCATAGGTGGGACTGAGATGTGTTTTCAGCCCAAGGCAGAGGGGATCAATTTGCTCCACAGGTGCTTTTTTGGACCCATGCCTCTAAGACAAACAAGCAAGGAGCACAGTTCTGGCACACAGTGGGGGGTAGTGTAGGTGCAGAGTTTTCAGCGGACCTGACTACCATACATGGTCACGGTGCTGGGGATGGCACTGACCAGGTTGTGCACTGTGGATCCAGATGCATGACTGCAAGATCACGGCAATAGACCCAAGTGCCTGACGTTGGCAGATCTGCACAGGTAGCTCTGAGGGCACAGAACCTGGGGGACACCAAAGCAGAGTACTGACATTCCCACAGCTAATGCAGGGACAAGGACAGCATCAACAAAGAGTATTTCAAGTGCTCCAATCAAAGCTCAAAAATGGGTCTAGAAGCCTCCATTCCAACAAAAGGAGAACAGACATGGGCCCTGTCAGGGCTGTGACAACCATGGAACAAAAAGCAAGCCCTGTTCAACAACCAGGGCAGGCTCTGATCACCACACCACCAGCCACACCCCCAGTCAAAGGGATAACAGCCAACACACACAAAAGAAAGATGTGGCAACCATCTATACTAAAAATAGACCTTGTGACAAAATTTAGAAGTGCACAGTCTACACAGGAATACATCCTCTTAATAAAACAAAACAAAACAGCCCTTCAAGATCACAGGAAAATATATACAAGATCTTATGGTAGCTCACAGTGAAAAAAAAGTGACAATGAATATATGTATGTTCATGTATAACTGAAAAACTGTGCTGTACACTGGAAATTGACACAACATTGTAAAATGACTATAACTCAATAAAAATGTTTTTAAAAAAGATCACAGTAGATCATTAATACTCCTTAATCTGTAGAGCCAGAGAGATATCAGTAAAATGAAGAAGTAGAGGAACTACCCCCAATTAAAAGAACAAGAGAAGTCCCCTGAAAGAATGATTAATGAAATAGACCTTGACAGATTACTAGACCATGACTTCAAAGAGAGGATGATAAAAGAACTGAAGGAAATAAGAGAATATTAATAAAAATGCAGAATACTATAAAAACGAAATAGAAACCATAAAAAGGAGCCAATTAAAAACAGAAAACTCAATGGCTGAGATAAGAACCAAGATAAAGGCAGTCAAAAGCAGACTAGATAATGCAGACGAACAAATAAGTGACTTAAAAGGCAAGATGACAGAAATCACCCAATCAAAACAACAGACAGAAAATCAAGTGAAAACTAATGAAAGAAATATAAGGGACCTATGCCTATGGGATACTCTAAAGCATGCCAATATACACATAATAAAGGTCCCAAAAGGAGAAGAAAGAGAAAAGGGGATTGAAAGGGTATTTGAAGAAATCATGAATGAAAACTTCGCAAACTAAATAAGGAATCAGATATCCAAATACAGGAAGCACAGAGGGTCTCAAACAAGAAGAATACAAATAGACCTACACCTAGACATATTATAATTAAGATGGACAAAGTTAAAGATAAAGAAATTATTCTAAAGGAAGCAAGAGTAAACAAAGAGTTATTTACAAGGGAACCCCCATAAGGCTTTTAACTAATTTCTCAACACAAACATTGCAAGACAGAAGGGAGAGTTGAGATATATTTTAAGTACTGAATGAGAAGAGGCTGCAACCTAGGATACTCTATCCAGCAAGACTATCCTTTAGAATAGAAAGAGAGATAAAAAAATTTACAGACAAGCAAAAACAAAAAGAATTCTGTAATACTAAACCTATGCTAAAGGGAATACTGAAAGGTCTACTCTATGTAGAAAAGAAGCATGACACTATAGAAAGGAGAATACTATATACAGAAATGTGATAACTACAATGAGTTGCACTAGAATAAACATGAAGATGTAAAATATGGCATTAAAATCATTAAAGGTGGGAGAGGGA